CTCTCTCTCTCTCTCTCTCTCTCTCTCTCTCTCTCTCTCTCTCTCTCTCTCTCTCTCTCTCTCTCTCTCTCTCTCTCTCTCCTATTTTTCCGCGCGAGCGTGCAAACGCGAGCGAGCAGGCCGACCAGAGCCGACTCGCGCCGGTCACGTGTCTCTCGGACTCATCCCCCGGTTGCACGGCCGAACGGAAGTGCAGCCGACCAAGTGCCATTCGACAGTCCCTCCTCCTCTTCTTCTTCTTCTTCTTCTTCTCTTCCTCGTTCTCCTCCCCCATCTATAGAGGCCGTGACTAATTAATGACGCCGGCCTGTCTTTCGCGCGATCCTCATTAGAGACGAAGGCGAACGTGGAAAAACTGTTTGTTTGTTTGTTTGTTTGTTTGTTTGTTCGGAGGCGCCGGGCCTCGATGCCGACCGATCGCAGGAGGACCGCGGGATCGGCGATCGACCGAGATCGGTCGGGCCACGAGACGAGCCGAAGACTATGCTGACTCGTGACTCCCGCCGCGTAGAGTCGTTCGAACGGCCGGTGACACACGTGTTAATGACGGGCCGGTACTGAGAGACGGCAGGGACGTGATCGCTCGCCTTTAGTACCGTTCATTTCTGCTGCTTTGCTCTTTGATCACGTTTGGCCATGGTGCTGGGTGACGACACACGTAGGCCGCAGTGAGATGTGATGGAGATGAAGACCAGCTTACTGCTTCTGGCGCTGCTTCGCCTCGCCAGCGCGCTCGAAAGTAAGGATCCGTGGATCTAGCGGGGTTGACGCGCGTCGATTCTGCCGGACAATTTATCGGGTGCGGAAGGGGCTGATTACTTTCGTCGTTCGGCGAACGATCGGGATACAAAAAGATCTTCGCGATTTAGAGGAACGAAGTTTGAAGAAGTTCGCGTCGCTGAATCGCGTTTTTAGAGGCTACGAAGCCGGGGATTTAGGATCGGGAAGTCTGTTGGTTCTAGACTGGGAATTTTTAACGCTAGATTTACGGAGCATAAAAAAACAGCTGTTTTGTATTAATTTATAGAAGTAACAGAAAGATATTTATTCTGATTTCGAACGAGTGTTATTGTAAGATTTACCGTAAGTAACGTGTAAATTGAATAAATAGCTCATAAATGTATCTTCACGATACGAATGATCGTAAATTAAAAAATCAGTGATCCGTCATTTTGACGGGTTCCGTGAATCTAGTGTTAACGTAAATTCGTCTAGAATGCTTCAACTGGTTGCCTCGATGCAATCGAACCTCGATTATCCGGACTGAGCAGAGTGACGTAAACGTTCAAACAATAGAACAATTATTCAGTTAAAGTGCCGGGTCTCGTTTTCGCCGATTTCTCCGATAAATCGTTTCGTATATCATTCGCCTTCGATCGAGCTGATTACGGATAGAAAGTATATTCAGAAGTTAATCGAGGCTTTGCCATAATTTCACAGAAGAAACAACAAAATTCCGTTCGTATATAACAGCAAATTTCATTTCAATTAACTTCAATTAACTTCAATTAATGTTCGAAAAATGTTCCCGCTCGAGACAGTAACAGCACACGTCTGCATTCGCATTCGTTAAAATCTCTTTGCACCTTGAAACGCACGGTACCGCATCGAGAGAATCATATAACCCTAAATCCGGCTACCTAAAAAACGCGCGCGTGGTGTCATCTCTGCTGTGCCGAGAACAAATCGACGGTGTCTCGTTGGTCGCGCGTCCTCGAGTAAATCGAGCTCATTCGATTTGCCGCTTATTTCGATCGCGGCCGGCAGCAGGCGAGAAATTCCGGCGAACGAACGAACCGCCGCGCGGCTCACAAATCAGCGTGGCCGTAGGCTCGCGCGGGTGCGTCGCTCTCAATTTCGAAGACGTCGGTGTTCCGGCCGTGGATCGGTCCGGGGGCCTCGGCGAAGATAAATTCCTCGGGGGGGCCTAATTTACGCGACAGTCGGATATCCTCGGAAAGCCCGTGGCTCGAAAATCGTGACATGTTTTTCCCGGCGCGTGACAGCGTAGGTAATCGTCGTTCAGCCCGTTCCACGGTTTACTGCTCCGAGTCAAACAAGAGGGACGCGTTTGCCCGGCGGTGCAGGCCAATAAAGTTGCCGCGCTTGTTGGCCGCGTCAAGAGAGCAAGCCGAGAGGAGACGAGAGGAAACGGAGAGAGGAGGCCGCGCGCGGGAAGGCGCGTTGCACGCCGGCCTGTGTAAAGACTAAGAGATCGCCTAAGCGAGCGGATCCCGCTGACTGATACACGACGTAAAATCCCGTACGCATCGTTAAACCGGGCTTTACCGTTCGCATCGAGCCGAGGACCGCGTCGGCTCGGCCGACGTTGCACCGCCGTTGCGCCGCCGTTGCACCGCCGTTGCATCGCGCCGCGACGTCTAAATTTACCGCGGAACGCGCGCCTCGATCGGCTTGTTAACGCGGTTACGATGATCGAGGAAAACCAAGCCGGTGGATCTCCGTCCTCGGCCGCGGCTCGTTTCGCTCGTTTCGCTGGCTGAATTAACCCTTTGCTCTCTCTCGACAAGCGCAACGCGCTCCGTGTCCGATCTTTATCGGTTGTTCGCGGTGTAATAACTTAACGGGATAACGATCGGGCAAATGGAACCGTTTCGGAGCCGCGGACGAACAGGGGCGGGGGAGGGGGGGATACCTACGCAAAAGCGGCGAGCCGGCCGTATCGATGGAAACTCTGTCCGAGGAGCCCGAGAAACCGAGCCGAGCTGAGCCGAGCCGAGCCCTCAAGATCCCGTGCGCGCGCGGTAACGCGGGAGGAAATTGCCGGTTCTCGCGAAGATGGATGATGATTGGGGGATAGTTATCGCGTTCACGGCGGAATCAATGTCCAGCCGGGATCCCCGTGCGATCAGTGAATACGCCGGATGAACCCTCTCTTGCACGGTCATTAGATTTTTCTGCTTATTGAAATGCTCTTATTTAACGGCCCTTTACTCATCGTAATGGCACCGACCATCTTCCGTTTCCAATGCAATCCAACTCGGACCGATCGGCTTCCGTGAGCCTGCGGTTTCCGTGGGAGTTTCTGCCGGCTTATAAACGTTTCGAACGACCTACACCGTTCCGTACACCTCCCAATTTCGATAAATCCGTGCAAACGAGTGCGGACGTCGTGGAAAAGCTGTGTACGCGCCGGGAAGAACTAAACTCGCACGGATACCGGTGAGGGTAACGCAGCCGGTTGCTGTGGAGTGACCATTTACCGTGCCTTTGGTTCGTTTATTACATATGATTAGACTGCGGATCTTTATGCAGATCTTTATACGATATAAAAATTATTATTATTATCATCGATTTTAAAAAAACAGAAACCATATAGATATTTTCTTCCTTGTTGTATAATTCTAATATGATTAATTGAATACATTGACACCCTCAAATTCTTTTGCTCTTCTCACTGTTCCAAACTACAGCATCCAATTTCGATCATGAATGCATAAAATCCGCAGTCGAATTACAATTAACGTTATATTTATTGGACAAGACATATTCAATCGTTTTATTCTTTTATTTTACTTCTTTCTGAGAGAGAGAAAAAATTTGGTACGTCTTATTCGATAAACGTAAAGTTAATTACGCCCGAGAACAAACCAAAGGCACAGCAATTGGTCACCCTAAAGTAACCGGTTCCGCTGCTCAGGTCCGATTGTAATTTTCCAAAAGAAAAGTATTCAAATTATAATTATTCGATCATCGTATAAAACGTGAAAAATTTCGGAGACATGCCTGCGAACGAATTTATAGGGGCGACGGGGTACCCAGTAGATTAGCGGAGGGGTGCGGAACGAGCGAAAGTAAGGTGCGAACGCAGCAAAGATGAACGCACGATTTCGAATTAATTCGGCGAGTCGGGGCCCGTCGAAAGTTTTCCGTATCTACGATCTGATGTCGCGTGAACTCGCCCTTTGTTTCAGACACGAAAGAGGAGGAGGACGCGGAGGAAGACGACGAGGAGAATTATCCGGTGGGTGACTACGACTACGGTGACTATGAAACCGCGACTATAACCGGCGACACCGATCTTATCGCGGGTGGCTCGTTGCCGATCTTCCTCGCGGAGCCTGTCGACACGTTCGTCGTCAAGGGGAGGCCAGCCACCCTCCACTGCCGCGCGGCACATGCTCTTCTGGTATGGAGAAACGTTATTTTCGCTCTGCCGAAACCTCTCTTATCGTGCCCTCGCGTCGTCCAAATAGCTTCTTTCTTGAGCCGGAAACGTTGAAAATTCTGAAAAAAGAATTCCTAACATTTCTTAGTTTGATGCTTTAAGAATCAGACGAGGGACAATCCAGTCATTTTTGCAGTCTTCCGTGCTCTGTTCTGATTATAATTTATATATGTATATTTTCATCGTGATACAAGGTACTGACACTTTTCCGTGAAAAAACACCTTCCATGTGTTTTACTCGTCGAACACAGCTAACTGGTTAAGAATCAAATACAGGACAATCGAGTCATTTTTGCAGTATTTCGTGCTCTGTTCTGATTATAATATATATATTATAAATTAGAATAAAATAAATAATATATATTCATCACGATACAAAGTACTGACAAACGCAAACTCGTCAAACACAGCTAACTGGTTAAGAATCAAACGGAGGACAATCGAGTCATTTTTGCAGTCTTTTGCACTGTTCTGGTCACAATTTTTGTATCGCTGGATTGCCAGTTAATTTAGAAACTGTTTGGATGCCAATTAATACTGCTAAATAATGCTAATTGACGCCCAGATTGTCCACAAAAATGAACAATTTTGGAAGAGGCGATACGATTGTTCGAGCCTTGTGGCTCGTCTTTTATGGTCATCGATTGTCGACAACAATAAAAACGAGCTGCAAGGCTGGAATAATCGAATCTCCTGTTTCCAAATTGACCACTCTTGTGGAAAATCTGAGCGTCAGTTAGAGAGACATTAGTGTACGACATATTAGTGACGACATTTTTTTAGCAAACTTGGTACTGCATATTTAGTATAGTCCAATTAAGCTACCCTATCGAACCGTCCTATTTACATACAAGTTTCGTAAAAATTCTAAAAGATCAGTATTAAAATACTCACAGATAAGTATTATCTGTATTAAGGTACAGTATTATTCTGAAGATCTAATATTAGGATACTTTCTAGCTTCTTATGCACCTTCGGCACCGCAAAATTTAGCTTCACAGTTCAGTAGTCTCTTTCCGGCGACGTTGAAACGTGGCTTCTAAAGTCCGAGATTTCTGTACGCGGCAACAACCGGCTCAAGAAACTAGCCTGCTAAAATCCATTTAGCACCTGGTACTCCCGGTGTGTGGAACAATGGTGGCAGACCGGCCGCGTCGAAAAGCAGAAACAAAGGGCCCCGGGAGGATCACTTTTGCTCGCTAAGGAAGAGAGAGAGCGAGATCGAGAATCGAGAGAGAGAGAGCGAGAGAGAGAAAGAGAGAGAGAGAGGATAGCTTTTCGGGCGTGTTCCGTTTCACGCGTCCGCAAAGTAGGGTCTAACCGCGCTGTCGTCGAGCCCGTCATTTTCCACTCGAGCCTTATTAACCACTCGAAGCTAAGCTCGACGGCATGGCAGCGCGCGCGGACATGTCTCGGCTCGGCCACTTTTCGCTACTCCGCTCCGCTCTGCTCTGCTCCGCTCCGCTCGACTTGACTCGAGCTCCTCCGACTTGCCTCGGAGAAATTAATCCGGCGGCGTATTCCGGCTCGGCTTGCAGGTGTATTTTCGCTGCAACGGTGACCGGGCCAAGCAATCGCAGCACCAGGATTTCGTCGACCCTCGTACCGGGACGAGGGTCGTCGAGGTCGAGTTGAACGTGACGAGGAACGAGGTCGAGGAGTACTTCGGTAGGGAGAGGTTCAAGTGCGAGTGCGTGGCATGGTCGGGACCAGGTCAGATTCGAGGGCAGCCCGCCACGGTTGAGGTCGCCTGTAAGTAGAGAACACTCCAATCTCTTCTCTCGTATTTTCTAACCCGTCTCCGACCCACCCTCGGCTCACCTTCCCCCGCCCCTTGACCCTACCGCGGCGCTCGGATCCAGCGATCGATTCCTCCATGAACTAGCCGTTCGAACGCCGAAAAGATACCGTCGTCGCGCGGATCTTAACAGAGGCGAGGAAAGTTATCGTCCGGACGTTTCGGGCCGGATTAACATATATATTCGCTGGGTGTGACTCAGAAGGGGAGTTTATGAGCCGCAGGGGCGCGAAACGGCCCGGGCGCCGAGTGTAAACGGATCCTAAAATGTTGCCTACCCTCGCGCCGAGGATTCTCATCGGTAATTCGTATTAACGCCGTGTTGCCGCCAGATTTCCCTAAATGTGTAAACACGCCCCGTCGATCCGACCAGGGAAATCGCTGACACCTGAACTATCTCTCTCTCCCTGACGGGAAGAAGTCAAAAACAGCTTAACAAATTGCAGATCAGATATGTACACTTCTGGTCGTAAGTACACGGACACCCGGCGAACAGTCGAAAGCTCGGATCGAGAAATGTTATGGAACCTTTGAATAGGGGTTGTTTTAAAGCAGAACCCTTTTTAACGATGTTCTCGCAGCGTGTGTTCCGATGGGAGCAGAAATGAGGGTTCCAGTTGGAATTGATATGAGTTCATGTTGTTCGATGATGTTGGAAGGGTTCTTTGCTATCGTAGTAAGCATTGAATATTATTTATGAACTTTTTGAGAAATATTTGTGTCGAGTTTTTAATCATTCATTATGGGCTATTTTAAAACAGAACCCTTTTTAACGATGTTCTCGCAGCGTGTGTTCCGGTGGGAACAGCTGGAATTCATATGGGTTTATGTTGTTCGATGATGTTAGAAGGATTCTTCGCTATCGTAGTAAGCATTGAATATTATTTATCAATGTTTCGAGAAATATTTGTGTCGAGTTTATAATTATTCATCATGGGCTATTTTAAAGCAGAACCCTTTTTAACGATGTTCTCGCAGCGTGTGTTCCGATGGGAGCAGAAATGAGGGTTCCAGTTGGAATTGATATGAGTTCATGTTGTTCGATGATGTTGGAAGGGTTCTTTGCTATCGTAGTAAGCACTGAATATTATTTATCAATGTTTTGAGAAATATTTGTGTCGAATTTTTAATTATTCATTATGGTCTTCTTAGCAGATCTTTCTCAATTTTAATTATCTCTTCTGTTTTAACATTTTTATAACTTGATCCAAGGTGTTTTCTGTCCGTTTCTCGTGTCTCTCTCATGAGATTTTGCTAAGATAGTTCTAAGCAGTCGTTCTAGGATAGTTCCACCTTGCTTGTTCAACATACTTATTAATTATTTCTGACGTTCCTCTTATCACATCTTCCTCAATGAACGTTAATATATACGAGATTAGATTTAGATTAGATTAAATTAGATTTATATTAGATTTATTAATCGCAATTGTAAACTTGTAATCATTAGTTGAATTATGATAGTATCGAATGCAATGCACATACTTTTATTCCATACAGTTGTTGAACGATGAAATTTAAACGAAGTCGCAATGTTTTTATTGTAGAGAATTATTGTTAGTAAAATACCGAATAATGCGAAGAACATCGAGAACTTGTAAACTAATAGGATTCGGGCGATAATTATTTAAAGTGGTGCAACTGCGAAACGGTAAAAAAGTAACTCAGAGTAAAAAGTAAGCAAAAAAAGTAACAAAAAAGTAAGTAAAATTCCCATGAATTCGGATCAAAGCAACGAATATTTCTTATCGTACGCCAGGATCGCTTAATCAACGACTTCGCGAGAAGCCATAGCAGAAAATGTCGAGGATCAAGCTCGGGCGAAGATGTCCAAGAAAATAGACGTTTCGTTGGAGCGCACCGGGCGCTGTCCGGCGGGAGTCGGTCGCGTAAAAATTGAAAAGCAAGCTGCGTCGTGCCGCGGTTTTTTGCTAAACCGATTCGCAGGTTACCATTCCAATTTGCATGCCGGCGATACAACGTTTGCCTGCCGGACCGAAAAAAAAAAAAAAAAAAATCGCGTCCGCGGCCGATCGGCAGGGAGTCGCGGACGGGTTCTGTATTCACGGGTGTTTGCCTTGCAATGGAATATCGATTAGATTTTCGACTCGGTTTACGCGTCACGAAATATCGGATGAAAACAAGCGGTGCCGCGCCGATGTCCCCGGCCGGCCACCCCCCGCACTCGGTTAACTCCCGTCGACAGCGAAGCTTACCGGAGTGAATTTCGTGCCCGGTATCTCGGAATACCCCCTTTCGAGAGCTCGGCCGGCCGCTAATCGGGTTAATGAAGTTACGTTTTATGACCGATTCCAGGTGTCGGCCGCCCGAGGCCGTTTTCTCTCTTCGACCAACCCGATCCCCTTCCCTCCGCCCCTCTATAGCACCGTTCGCACCCCTACGGCACGAGAATACGCTACGGTCACGCGTTCGTTTCGACGGCGGGGACCAAAATTATGGAAACTATCGGCCGACGGTGTTCCGTTTAATTACAGCTCGGCGCCACCGCTCTCGAATTTGAATTCGAGGGCCGAGGCGGCTCTCCGCCACTATCGGGTCGCCTTATACATTAACGAAATTGATCCCCTAATTGGCAGCCTCGAAGTCCGGACGAACGCTCCGAGATTCCAGGAACCCTTGCCCAAGGGTTGCCCCGGTGTCTTTCATCAGGGACTTCCGACGCCCTTTTGCCCTGCTCGGAAATTTGTAATGGATCCCTAAGTGCTGCAGCGTTAAGCTCCGTCGCGGTTCTTCTTCGATGTTTTCCGATGATCTCGATATCTTCGTTAGAACTTTGATAGGTTACTCGAACATTTCAAGTGTAACAATTAGAATGCGGATTTTACGGATTTATGGCGACAATGAGTATAGATCAAATTGACCGGCGGGTGACATTTTGTAACACTGACCACCTGAGGACAAAAATAAATATAACCCTTTGCACTCGAAGCTATTTTAACTCTAAATATAAAATCATTTTTCTAACCTATAGTCTTTCTATTTTATGTGACAAGATGCATTTTATGCGCGTGACATTGACTCTTCGGACTCGCGCAACAGTTGCACTCTCAACGATCTTGTAAATCTAAACTTTGTTAATGTCAAAAATTATCTTGAAACGTGATATAACAAATTTCAGCGGTGCTTCAGAGTCACCACTCGAGTGCAAAGGGATATTATGCAGGGTGTCCCAAAAATGTCTCGCAATCCGAAAGTGACGGGTTCCTCCGGTCATTTGAAGCAACTTTTTCCTTTACAAAAATTTTCTCCGAGGCACCGTTAACGAGTTATTAACGAAAAACAGTGACCAATGAGAGGCGAGCTCGGCTGGCGCGAGGCGACCGAGCCAATGAGCGGAACTGGGCTTCGTGCGCTGATTGGCTGGGCCGCCTCGCGTCAGCCGTACTCGATTCTTATTGATCATTGTTTTTCGTTAATAACTCGTTAACGGTGCCTCGGAGAAAATTTGTGTAAAGGAAGAAGCTGCTTCAAATGATAATTATAATATAAATATAATATAATCCGGATCAAATTGCAAATAAAATTTCAAATAAAATTGAAAGCATCTCGAAATACTGTTGCAATATTTTCAAGTAATTCATAATATTCGTGGCTGCGAATTTTATGAATTTACAGCAGAAGTGGTAATGCGAGATTTAAAACTGCGAAGACATTGGAAGAATTCAAAGATATTGTTTTAAAAATATTATTAAAATATTATTTCTAACGTACTGAAACGATTGAAAGAAGAAATGCGTTTTCACTGGACTTTCCGTCTCCCGGAATAAATACGGAGAATTTTTATTTTCGCGCAAAAATCCGCGGTCTGGTAAAACGTGCAGAGAATTTTTATTTCGCAGAAAAATTCGCTGTCTAACGATCGGTTTTGTACGGTACTGGTACATATTTACCATCATCGGGAAAGCCTTGATCATCGTTCCGCGAAGCACGCTGAATCCCGGCGGTTGGTGCGCGCGAGGGGCGCGAACTTCGGAAAGTTAAAATACACGTTGGAGAAAATTTCCGAAACGAGTTCGTGCGCCGAGCCGGTCGAAGTTCTCTGCCGATACGTCAACCGGAACTTCGATTCCCGGCGCGGATAAGTTTCTTAATTTGAGATCTGTCGGGGCTCGTCAGAACTTTGTCAAAACTTCCTGTTTGTCCGTTTTCGGATCGTTCAATCTTCGAAAGAGTTGCGGATCGCGGCTTGGCGGGCCGCTCGACCGGAACTGGAATTGTTTTCGCGCGCCGCGTCGAAAGAGCAATTTCCATTCGGAGGAGTCGCGGCGCGACGCGTAAACACGCGGCGCAAACAGGGAACAGAATTAAATCCGTATTTACGCGCAAACAGGAAACGGACGTGTTTTCGGGATTGAATAACCGTTGTGTGCGCATCGATCGACGGTGTCTCGCCGCGAGACTTACTTTCGAGTCGTTGCCGCGACGATCATTTCCGCGCCGAGCAATCTGCGAATTAATTTCGTCGTGATTTTTCGTTTTCTTTTTCATTCGGCGTCTGGAACATCGCCTGAGATTCGTGTCGGCTTGCAAGATAATGCGAGTCGCGAAGAATTTTTAAAAATGTAATACATACAAATGCAGCGTGTAAATCAGATGATAAATCAAATGAAAAATATTGCATTATGTTACGTTAAATGAAGTAAACAGCTGATCTTAAAATAGCGAAATTAAATAGCTAAATCTATAGATCAAACCTTTCGAGAAATTGAAACATATATAAACGCTAGGTTCACAAAATTAATTTACCAACTCTTTAATTTACGATTATCCAGATTGTAAAGTAATTTTTATTTACTATTAACGAATTATTTATTCAATGTTCTACTTGCTGCAAATATTACAATAACGTTCCTTCAAAATCGGAATAAAACATTTTACTGTTACTTTTATGAACAAATAGCGGCGTTATTTTAAACAATCATGATTTTATGATAGCTTTAGTCGGAGTTAAAATTGTTGGAAAATTGACCACTTCTCGGTAAAAAATTTCTCGGTCCTTTAATTCTGCTGTCGAGCGTATTGCGACGAAAATCGCTAAAAATCTGAATAAATATAAACTCGTTACATTTACGAAGCGATATAAAACAGCCGCTATTAACAGCCCGGAAAGCTGGCGTTAATCAAATATACCGGTTCAGCCGGCTCCGAGAGAAGGAGCGGTAATCAGAATATTTCAATAAGCGTAACGCGGATGGCTAATCGGCCCCGTTTCCCATTCACGTGGCGTATTAAAAAGCAGTCGGTACAGCATCGGGCCGGGAGAAGCTCGCTGTCTAGACGTCCGTTCGCGAGTACAAGGATATAGTGCACCGGTGCATCGGTGGTGGCCGTTGCTTGCTCTTCACGAACGATATAAAAAGCAGCTATTTTGCCGCGTATACACGGCACGCCGGATAATATGGCGCGGCATAGCCGGTGGCGGGTCGAGTCGGGCCGGGTCGGGCCGGACGGGCGAATAGCTCTGCCCTCGTGGCCGCGGATCGAACAGATCTTTTTCCGGCTGCGCTGCCGCTCGAGTGCGCCGGATAGACAAGGCCGGTGAAAGCGCCCTTGCATTTATACAACCGCCCTAATATCGCTGAGTGGCCTACTCCCTCTCGCCGGCGCTCGTTTCTCTCCCGCGTCCCGGCGCCGCCTTGTCGAACCACCCCCTTTTTTTCTACCCCGGGAATATTAAAAAATCAAAACGCCGCGCAGACCTGAAGAAGCACTTCCTGTCGCCGCCGTACTCGCTGTCGGTCGAGGCCGGCCGCAATGCCGAACTCCGGTGCTCGCCGCCTATGGGGGTGCCGCTGCCCAAAGTCTACTGGCTGAAGAACGGCTCGCCTCTCGAGACCGTGAACGGGTCCACGCCGCAGCCACCTATGCAGCAGAGCAGTCACAACGAAGTCGCGGCCACCGGGAACTTCGTGCAGACTGGAGAGGGTCACCTCTTCCTCGGCGAAGCGGAACTCAGGCACCAGGGAAACTACTCCTGCGTGGCGGAGAACATCGCTGCCAGGCGGGTCAGCGAACCGGCTGTCCTCACGGTCTATGGTGAGCCGTTTATTCTATGGAGAAATGTTTTAGTCAGAATTTGTACGGTATGGAATGTAGCATAGGTTGATACAGTTAAGTTTATTTTATACGGTGTGCCAAAAATGTATTTTAAGCTGGAAATGAGAGATTCCTCGGGCCATTTGGAGTAACTTTTTCCTTAGCGAAAATGCAATCCGCGGCTTCGTTTGCGAGTTATTAACGATAAACAGTGACCAATGAGAGGCGAGGTCAGCTGGCGCGCCGAGCCAATCAGCGGAACTGGGCTTCCGGCGCTCGTCGGCTGGGCCGCCTGCCGTCAACCGAGCTCGCCTCTCATTGGTCACTGTTTTTCGTTAATAACTCGTGAACGGAGCTGCGGATTAAATTTTCGCCAAGGAGAAAGTTGCTTCGAATGACCTCAGGAACTTCCCACTTCCGTATTGCGAGGCATTTTGGGGACACCCTGCATATCACTTTTTTATTGAGACTTTAAAACTACTTTGAATATTTTAATTGTAATTTATACAATTTGACTTTGCTACTGGGAAGAGTATGTAAATCTCAGTAAAAAGATGTGAGACAATATTGGTCCAAAAATCGATACTTACCGAGGTATTGATTAAATTAGGCTCGATGTAGAGTATTCTTGAAATTTTGGCCGTTCTGATCAACACACGTTTGTCGACTATGTGCGAACAACTTTTTACTCTTCTCGAAAATCATTCTTCTTGGAATTCGTATCTATCTTGAAATATATATTTATCTTGGAATTCATATATTCTTGGAAATCGAATTTATGTTCGTCGAAGATTGACGGAATTTTCGTTTCTTGTAATTCAAATACCATATTATTGAAGAGATGCTCCTGGTTTCCCACAGAGTATTAACTATTGTTGTTCCATTTATATTTTATACTTTTCTAGCTCAGCTTTCATCCATTACGCGATTTATTATTACAACTTATGGTTTGCCACAAAAACTGTTAGCTATTGTTGTTCCATTTATATTTTCTATTTTTCTAGCTCAGCTTTCATCCATTACACGATTTATTATTACAACTTATGTTTTGCCACAATGTGTTACAGCTATTGTTGTTCCATTTGTATTTTCTATTTTTCTAGGCTAAGCTTTCACCCATCGCACAATTTATAATTGCAACTTACGATTCTCTCACTTTCAAATTTTTTTTGTTCAAATATAAACAAATTCGATACCGTCGAAATTATTTCGAAACAAAACGATCCATGCGACGCAGCAATTTTTGACGGTGCCTCAGAGTCGCCACTCGAGCGCAAAGGGTTAAGCGAACGTTTCGCTATAATTAATACGATTCAATCAGTCACCACGTTAAAGGCTTAAGACACCTGCAACGCGGATCGATATTAGTCGAGACACTCCGTGCAGATTGCTGGGAGATGGTTCCACCAGCATGTCAGTCAGCCTCCCCATTGATCCGAGGCGTATCAGTGCGTCGTTACACGCGGAAGCCTCGGCAAACAATATCCTCTTCGACGGTTCCGTGAGACCCGCATGAATATTGCATTCGCCCGCTTAGCAGCGATTGGGAAGCGGCAAACCGGCCGGCCCCGGTAATTAGCCGGGATACTCTTTTAATCGTGGAGGCTGCAGCGGGTCGTGGGAGGGGGGGTTTAAGTAATTGTTGCGACCAGGGAATTCGTGATATCGGCATCCGATAATTTGCCGCACGGGAGATTGCACGCTTGTTATCGCCGATTCGAAACGGTGATTTCAAGTCTACACGCCGAGCGAACACTTTAAATTGCTTTGCGCGGTTTATTGCACGCGAAAGCCGCGCGCGCACGGCGGCATTTTATCTTCGTACGCAGTACACGCCGCGTTTCACAAAAGCGTTCTTGCACGTTGGTTAAATATTGCTTCCTTCGGGAAAAATGTCTTTCGATCGCCATTCGTTGCAAACTTCGTTGTCAACTCGATTACCAACTTGTACGGACAGTCGAGGGATGTTTCACATTTTTCATACACCGCGTGCATGTTCATCCGACTGTTTTGGGTTTGTATTAACTTTATATCTATCGAATAAGACGTATTACATTTTTTTTTATTCTTTTACTTTGGTCATTTTTTAATACAAAAATTTATGCCAATTATTCGATATAATTTGAATAAATATATATTATGGGATATATATTCAATATTATATAATATTGAATATAATATTATTATAATATTATTATTATATAATATTTATATAATATTATTATTATATTATTATATAATATTTATATAATATTATTATTATATTATTATATAATATTGAATATAATATTATTATTATATTATTATTATATTATTATATAATATTATTATATATATATATAATATATTGAATATATATAATAATATGATATTATATGATGTAATTCGATAAATTTTTATAAAAATTATTCGATAAATATAAAATTACTTATTAGCCCGAAGACAGCAACTGGTCACCCCACAGAAACAGGTCACCCCAAATTCCATTATACTCTAGTTACATTTGTTGTATTTACCGCGCGCGCGTATTAAAAACATCTTATAAAATCTAATAAAAACATTAAACCTCGAAGAATAAGCTATAAATTCTCCAAATATCATGCCGTGTGTTTAAATAATTATATTCACAAAATTAACCAAAAGATCAATGAAAAATAACCAGACTTTTGTAACGCCAGCAAATATCGTAACGATAACAAAATAATACCGGTCACTGACCTCTGCTCGAAAGAATCTCGACAAAATTGTAACGAAATCTGAAAACCGGTTTCTCTACAAGGGTAATGAATGTGCGACCCAAAAAAAAACCACCTGTATTATGGCATTTCGGTACGGATCCCCTGATTCCTGGCGTCCGTCTCCTTCGAGGAGATTTTTGCCGGACCGTACGAATCGATTCAATTTCCTCGGTCTCATCAAAGAGCAACGCGCAATTACCACCATCTCGTATCCTCCATCCCGGATTCGTTCTCAGTGAACGGCGGGTGGTCTTCCTGGTCGGGATGGTCGGACTGCAGCACCCGTTGCGGCCGAGGTGTACAAAAGAGGACTCGTACCTGTTCGAACCCGATGCCGATCAACGGGGGTCAGTCCTGTCCGGGTCCGGCGACGCAAAGGGTCGACTGCAATCCTTCCTGTCCCGGTAAGCGATTTAATTATGAAATTAACAATAGCTCCGTCAAACGGTCTCGGATTCAGCGACGATCGCGTCAAAGGCTCACGGGGAGAGAGAGAGAGAGAGAAAGCGAGAGAGAGAAAGAGTGACACAAAGCGAAAGAGCGAGAGAGAGAGAGAGAGAGAGAGAGAGAGAGAAAGAGAGAGAGAAATGGCTCGCACAAACGGGACGCTGCGATTCTCCCCGTGTGTCTCGCTCGAATCTGATAACCGAGATTTAATCGTGATTTTCAAGTTCACCCGTTGCTTTCAGCGGTCGACGGCAGATGGTCAAGCTGGTCCTCGTGGACCGCATGCGGTCCCGATTGTTCCAGAGTGAGGAGGAGATCCTGCAACGACCCCCCGGCGAGCAATGGTGGTCGTTCCTGTCAAGGCAAGGACGTCATCGTTGAGTCTTGTTCCGCGGATCGATGTAATGGTGAGCTCCAGCTGTGTTCTCGCTGTTTTCTTCTATCGCGCCCTCCCCTCTCTTTCCCTCCCTCCGTCGCCGTCTCTTCATCTCCGTCTCGACCGCTCTGTCTCCCCTCCATCGTTCCCGCCGCGTCTTTTGTCTCTGGGCCTTTTTTTCATTCTCGATTTTGAATTCGTCCCGGGTGACTCGGCCGGGGCGGCGGGCAATTTATTACGAGCGAGCGGACTCCTCTCTTCGAGCGCGTCGCGTCCGATGATCGTCGCGCGCGCGCGTCGACGGGGACGATACGATTTAAATTAATAATGACTCGCAGAAAGCGGACGAAAAGGCCGGCCGAATTGGTTTTATTTGCGGGGCCCCTGGGCCCGGCGCGCTCCGTCGAACGCTGCACCGTAATCGTCCTCGATTAGCCGGTCGTTGGACGCTTCGAATACCACTATTGTTAATCATCGGCCGCGATATCTTCGCGGCGCTCGTGAGCCCGAGTTTCGAATCGTTGCCATCGCCGTGCAAGATTAACGATCCGCCACGGACAACCACGTCCCGGCACGTTCCGCTTGTTAACGAGATAAAGTCGCCGGGAGTTTTTGAACGCCAGGCATTCTTATTCCCGTACAGTAACATCTCGTGATATCGCATGCAGCTCTCGGACAAGACGGGCCACGGGTCTTGAAGGAAGGTAAATGCCACGGAACGTACAGGTACCGTTCGCGCACCCCTGCCGGAAAGCATTCGATCCTCCTCGCATTTAGTTGGCCGCGGCCACGATGCGGAAAATGTTCACGGTGACGAGCGTACAATGGCGCTCGTCGAACATGAAGGAAACGTTAATACATACAACAACCGCTGGCTCGACGAACGGGCCAACCGTGTTCTCGATTCTGTCATCCTCGTCGCCGTTCCAACCGCTAAGAAGTATCCTGACACCTCGCGGCGGTCCACTTATGTGCGCTCGTTGCTTTCGCACGGCAACGAATATACGGCGCAATAATTTTTTATTCGGAATAAGAACGGTCGTTCATCGTTGATGAATCCGACCGCGGATTTTATGCATTTGGTGCAAAGATCGATGTGAGAAGTACAGAATAATGGAGACATTTGAAGAATCTAAGAGTACAGTAATGTCTTCCTAACTGACGCTTAGATTGCGCACAAAAATGGACAATTTGGGAAGAGAAGACACGATTATTCGAGCCTTTTTTTATAATTGTTGCTAGTTTTTATAATTGTTGATAATTCGTAACTGTAAAAACTAACCGCAAGGCTCGAATAATCGTATCTCCTTTTCCCAAATTGTCTATTTTTGTGGACAATATGAGCGTCAATTAGAGAGACATTACTGTACTGTTACATTATTTTCAATTGGTTGAAACTGTTAAACGAAGAATTACGTTGTTATTCGATTCTTGTTTTATACGATGGCACAACAACATTTTTATTTTAATAATGGAAACATTGGAAGAATCTAAGAGCACTGTTACATTATTTTCAATTGGTTGAAACTGTTAAACGAAGAATTACACTGTTATTCGATTCTTGTTTTATGCGACGACTCGACAACATTTTTATTTTAATAGTGGAAACATTGGAAGAATCTAAGAGTACTGTTACATTATTTTCAATTGGTTGAAACTGTTAAACGAAGAATTACACTGTTATTCGATTCTTGTTTTATACGATGGCACGACAACATTTTTATTTTAATAATGGAAACATTGGAAGAATCTAAGAGTACTGTTCCATTATTTTCAATTGGTTGAAACTATTAAACGAAGAATTACGTTGTTATTCGATTCTTGTTTTATACGACGACTCGACAACATTTTTACTTTGCATAAAAATCCGCAGTCTATTCATCGTATGCGTCTAGTACAAAACACGTTTGTCTTTGAACCCTTTGCACTCGAGTGGTGACTCCGAGGTGACCACTAAAAAATATATCACATTCCAAAATAATTCTTGCATCAAGAAAATTTAGATTTAAAAAATTGTTAAAAGTATAACCGTTGTACAGTTATTGAGCGCACAAAATGCGCTCTGTCATATAAAATAGAGGCAGCGTAGATCAGAAAAATCATTCTAGCTTTACAGTTAAAATGGCTTCGAGCGCAAAGGGTTAATTACAATATCCGTAAAATTTGCATCGAGCACAAGCTTTCTTTTTACCGCGAAATATTGCTGCGAGCCGTACACTCGCCACCGAAATTTTTTGAATCGTGTTCGCGCGATGATCGAACGCTTCCCGGCGGGCTACTAGAACCGTTCTGAGACCTCGTCTGCCCGCAGCGGCGCGCTCGATCGATCACAGAAACATCCTAGCCCTGTGGATCACGTTGAGCCTGGCGGCGGTGATCCTAGCACTGACGACCATCTTCTTCGTGCGAGTGATGCGCCGGAAGGAGCGAATGGGTGCGCTGTACGGCGTGGCGAGGCTGGACTTCCGGCGACCCGGTGACCTAGCGAAGTCGGTCGTCTCGAAGAACCGATCGGTCCTGTCCATGGACAGACGGCTGGAACAGGTGATAGACGAGTCGAACGCGGCCAGAATGCCTAGGTAAACGATTCTCGAGGACTTAACGCCGCGATCGATCTTTGTCCCCCGTTGAAAGTCCGTCTGACGATGCGCAGGTCTTGCTCGGAGCACCATTACGACGTGCCACAGCTGTCCCTGCCGTCCACCGCCAGGCCATCCCCGAGCTCCTCGGTGACGAGGTCGTCCTGCAGGAACTCCCAGCGCGGCAGAGGCCTGTCCGACAACGAGGAGGGCCGGTCGTCCAGTAAGAACCGGACGTCTCCGGTGAAACGGACGGCTGGCATTGCGATCTCTCTTCGTGTTTTCTTGCGCAGGATCGACGCAGCCGAACGCCGAGAGCACCAACGAGGAGGAGGACGAGCACGACGAGCTGGACGCGCTCACGGAAGACGACAAGGTCCACGGGGACTCGGGCGGATTCATCGTGAGAGCGGTGGTGGACGAGCAAGGCGCCCTTCTCGTGGTCCCAGAAGTCGGCGTCTCGATGTCCGTCCCGGAAGGAGCGATCCCCAGAGGTCGTCGGCACAATCTGCACCTGGCTGTACTAGGGGACGACTATCTGAGACCCTCTCTGCCGCCTGGGCTGACTCTTCTGTCCGCCGTGGTGGCCTGCGGACCGAGCGACATCGACCTGGTGAAGCCGGTGATCCTGCAGTTCGAACACTGCGCCGAGCTGAGGACCGACAACTGGGAGCTCAGCCTCTGGTCCACCGATCTCGATCTCGAGACCCGCTCCAGTAACTCGACCAATTCGTCGACCAGCTCGAACGTCACCTCTTCGATGATGTGGCGCAAGATCCTCACGCTCGGCGGGGAACCCATCAATCTGCCCGGACAACCGTTCGCACAGCTCGATCATACCGGGGTGTTCCTGGTCACGGAGACACCCAGCGCCTACGCCGTTGCCGGGGAGAGTTCCTCGGTGGCGCCTGGACTGGCGGTGAAGAGGATCTGCGTGGCCGTGTTCTTGTCCAGGGAGAGGGACCACATCAGGTGCCATCTGATCGAGGACACCAAGGCGGCGTTCAAGCTTCTGGTGGATCGGGTAAGTGCTTCTCGGTGTCTTCGGAGCTGTTCAGAAGTGATTAGGAATTTTCTGACCCTCGAATGCGGTTCGGGGATCGTTAAGGCACGATCAGAAAAATTCTCTTGCATGGTAACCCCTTTTTTCGACCGGTGCGAGAGGAGGAAATGTGTACTTGTGAGCACTTGAACAAAGATAACCAATTATCTTTCTGTCTAACTTTTTCAACATATAATTTCGTGGTCTAATATCTTAAACTTTCTTATAAAATGTGAGAAAAAATGTCAAATGTCAAATACAAGCTCTGATTAGTCTTGAAAGATTTCTCTGATTATTTAGGTATCTGTTGCAATTTTATAAAATGTGAGAGAAATGTTAAATGTCAAATACAAGCTCTGATTAGTCTTGAATGATTTCTCTGATTATTTAGGTATCTGTTGCAATTTTATAAAATGTGAGAGAAATGTTAAATGTCAAATACAAGCTCTGATTAGTCTTGAAAGACTTCTCTGATTATCTAGGTATGTGTTGCAATTTTATAAAATGTGAGAGAAATGTTAAATATCAAATACAAGCTCTGATTAGTCTTGAATGATTTCTCTGATTATTTAGGTATATGTTGCAATTTTATAAAATGTGAGAGAAATGTTAAATGTCAAATACAAGCTCTGATTAGTCTTGAAAGACTTCTCTGATTATCTAGGTATGTGTTGCAATTTTATAAAATGTGAGAGAAATGTTAAATGTCAAATACAAGCTCTGATTAGTCTTGAATGATTTCTCTGATTATTTAGGTATATGTTGCAATTTTATAAAATGTGAGAGAAATGTCAAATACAAGCTCTGATTAGTCTTGAAAGACTTCTCTGATTATCATGCTACGTGTTGCAATTTTATAAAATGTGAGAAAAATGTCGAATCTCAAAGACAAGCTCTGATTAGTCTTGAAAGACTTCTCTGATTATCATGCTAAGTGTTGCAATTTTATAAAATGTGAGAGAAATATCAAACGTAAAAATCAAGCTCTGATTAGTCTTGAAATTCCTTCTCTAATTATCATGGTATGTGTTGCAATTTCAAGTAATTATTAGACAGTGGATTTTATGCGACAAAACTAAATAAGTCGAATACAATTTTTAATAATACAATGCACAATATAATAATAATTATATAATAATATAACCCATGCAATACATTATTTTCAACTTGTTACGATTACTAAAGAAGAAAAGACATTCCTCTCTAACTTACGTTTCCTACAATTAACATAGGCAATTTTTATTTCACATAAAAATCCGCAGTCCACTAATTACATTCACAAATCCATTTCTGTCACGAACGCAATTTACGGGCAACGTAACACTTGCAAACCTATCGAACGGCATCCAACCGCGTTTTATTATCAAGCTCGGTCCCACTCGATCACGACACGAAATCGTTCCATGCCCTCGAATCCCTTCAGGAACGTCGTCTAGGCGGAAGCCGAGTGGAGCACGGCACCCTAGGCTTCCGAGCAGGTGGTTCCCCCCTGCGCATCGATCTCGAGGACAGAGAAAGCGGATTCGTGGAGCGTCAAGAGGTTCCGCACCGCAGGATTTGGTCCTCGAGCAGGACGAGCATAAGGCGGTCCTTCAGAATCGAGAAAACCGTCGGCGAGACGAGGCTGAGCTTCGAGTTGCGCGCCTGCCAGTGCGGCTTCGAAGAGCACGCACTGTTCCTCAGGGTCGACCTGGACTTCGTGAAGAGGAACGGCTCCAGCGGCAAGAGATCCACCAAGACCGAGTCCTCTATCGTTCTGCGGGGGAAGAACTCTGCCAGATCGACGGAGTCCGTCCTCCCAAGACCTTTCAGGTATCCCGAATTTTTCTATTCACGATTATTATTGCAAAGATACATTTATAGGGAATTTATTCAGCAAGTTCGTCTCATTGGACGTGTAGAGTGGAATGACATATGTAAATATTTCAATCTAAAGTGATCTATATGCAACAGTAACTACTATAAAAACGAATAAAAACGTAGTCTACTATTTTAAATAATAATTAATCGCTCTGTTATCCGAACACTTGACATCTAGGAAAATACCAGGAAAATTATACGAATTCAGAGCGCTAGTTCAGATGAATTTTAAGACATGTTCTCGTGGGTCTATTTCTATGCTATTCAGCTCAAATGAAAGCTGAAAGTGTCTACTTTATATATAAAAAAACAAGATAGAATAAATTAAAATAAACTGCCGAGATCATCTTGAAAAATTAAAAGGAGTCGACCTCTGTCACCATGGGATTTACAAGACTCAAAAGTAAAAATTCATAAAAATTTTAAGATACGTTCCCGCGGAGCTATTTCCATGCAACTTAGCTTAAACGAAACTCTGTCCAACGAGTCGAGTTAAGGTACACCTGAACTTCAATGATCACCGAGACCGATGAGATTCTCCGGTGTTTCGTTGATTTCCGAGTGGTTCCGTTGGACAGAACCAGAGATTTCGAACAGTCTCGACGAAAGGTTTTGGTTGAAGGTTCTCGAAAACGCTGAGGAAACAGCTGTGCCAGTGCCTGGACCCTCCCAGCGCCCGGGGCAACGATTGGCGGATGCTGGCGCAGAGGCTGCAAGTAGACCGGTGAGAGATCGGATCGCGGAGGACAAAGGGGGATATCCCGGCTAAAATATCTGTCACGATTCCATTTCAGATACGTCGATTACTTCGCGACGAAGGCGAGCCCGACCGAGCACATCCTGGACCTCTGGGAGGCGAAGCACCAGGAGGGCACTGCCCTCGCGGACCTTCTGAACCACTTGAGACTGATGGGACGCGTCGACGCAGCGAACGTCCTCGAGAGTCGCCTCGGTCCGTGGATCTGAGGAGGTGCGCCGGAACAACCCCACTGCCAATATCGACGCGCAACTTTACAAATGTCTTTTGTAAATAACGACGAAAACAGAAAAAAAGAGAACAAGAAAGAAAAATCGAACGAAATAATCTAAGCGTAACGACGCATCCGTGAAACGAAGAATGATCGATGTAGTACCACGTTGTATAGAGACCCGGCAATCGTGTTTGTACATAAAGCTCGTTTATAGCAAACATCTGGCTACGTTCTCTGGCTACGTCCTTCTCCTCCTCCTCCCCCGTCTTCCAGAAACTCGCGGAAAAAGAGCTCGACGACGATTATAATACGGGAGGCCGCTCGAGAGCCTCGCGGAGGACCATTGTGCGTTTCGAGGATCCGGTTGCCACGGATTCCCACGGAAATCCCATTTAACAGTGACGATCACCGAGGACCAATGACCGTCTTCCGGCCGCGACGCCCCGCCAACCCCTCCCTGCGTCGAAGGGACGGTAATCGCGGACGTAAACCGTTCGCAGAATCCCAGGCGTCGGATCCTCGTCCGTCGCGAATCCCGCGAACAATGCGGACGTCCATGCGGCCGCAGGAAGATCGGAAGTAGCGAACGACGCTCGTCGGGCAATTTGCACCTGAATGCCTGGATCGCGTTCCTAGGGCCACGCAGAAGTGCATTTAGGCGGCCGTGTTCGGCCGGCATCAGCATTCGGCCAACATTCGGACACACGGCATCGCGGCTGCGGGCATTTCAGGTGGGCTTCTCTAGGTAGTATCGCGTCCGAGAGCAAGGATGCGTGGGATGCTCGAAACAATGGGCATTATCCGGCTTGGACCGGCTGGGAGGAGGGGGGCCAGGATTCTGGCAGGGTTCGAGGAGCTATAGGTATGCGGGGATGCCAGCCGTCATATAGGTATGCGTGTATCCCTTCGCCTTCCTCTCCCTCCCTCTCTTCCTTTCCCTCTATCTCTCTCTCTCTCCCTCTCTCTCTCTCTCTCTCTCACTGTCTCTCTATCTCTGATCCACACCCCCGCTTCCTTCCTTCCTTCCTCGCCAGGCCACCCTCTTCCAAGGGGGCGCAGGAAGGGGTGGCATTTAATCACAGGAGCCCGCTGCTGGTAATTCCGTCGGACAATGGCTGTTGACCTGCCTCGCTGGGGATGGCGTACCGGTCACCCTTCCACGGTATTACCGTGGATACGTTCCTCTTTGTCAGCGACTAGCCGCAGGATACGCTTTCCGTCTTCTTTCCGCTGGCAATCGTCGAAAACTGCGGCCGATCACCGCCGACCACCGGCATCGATCGCGTGAAACACCGGAGGTGTTCCTCCATTATAGCTGATCGATTGCAGGGCAATGAGGGGCCTGGATCTTTCCTGGAATCTGCAATTGGCAAACGTTCCGTTCAGCTGACAGATATACAAAAATTATCTTCTCTCTATGGTACTTCTTTGTGCTCGCAAGGCGATGATAATTTGTAGCTGTCGATTGGGTCATTATCTTGACTGTTTGTGTAGGGTCTGTGGTTGACGAGGTTCGCTTTGAATCTTCATTCTGGATCTTTCGGTCGTTAAAAACTTCCTTGTTCGTTGTTTATAATGTAAATGCTGTCTTTGTATTAAAAAGTATTCCACAGTGTTTTATTTACACCCTCGCAGTGCGGTGGCCGTGACAATTTTGAGTCACGGTGTTTAAATCGTTCTCTTAATTACTCGATTTTCGACAATTAAATAAAATAAATTGCTGTTGCATTAGGAGCAACAGAATGGCTAACAATTATGCGAGGAATATGCGCGGTATATTCCAAGTAATATGCGGAGTAATATGCGAGGTATATTGAAAAATATATTTCGGAAGATTGCTGAATAAAGCTCAGAATTGTTATAAACATCGAGGATAGTGCAGTCATGAAAATGCTCCGCCGATAGAGGATTAATAGCCCAATTTGCAATACGAATCATCAGAGATGCTTATTGAGAGCGAAGATAACGCTGGACCAGCCTGTTTTGATAATATCTTATCGTGGAGGGTGGTGCAGCATAAGATCACGATCATAAACTTCGAACGAATCTCATTGTTGCGTATAAGCCTATAAACAAGGCACAGAACAATGTGCATAACTGGACCACGGATTTTTGCGCAAAATAAATGTTTTCATCAACAATTCCAAGAGATAGGAATTTAATAAGATCGCGTCTCCCCTATTAATAGTCTCAATTATCTCAAAAATAGCATACTACGTTCTTCTAGTCTTTTGATGTTCTTTCTGTTTCGCGTTTCATGTTACCACTTTTTTCATACACGCGAAAAATCCGCAGTCTGTACACAACACGGCAGAGAACACATCTGCTCAATATACAATACAGAAACCAACACAAAAACAGTTGAAATTTCGAGGAACAGTAACGTCGAATTTAGCCGGTGCCGATGAAAGACACGAGCGCGTTAACCTTGGGCACAGATTTGCTTGAAAACATTCTTACGTTTGAAACGGATTTAATTTGCTGATGCGCGGAATAGCCTACAAAGGCAGTAGATTTCGCGTGAGAAAACATTTATTCGAGTACATTTATTATTGTATATAACAGACATAGTAATTAGAAGCTCGAACGACGAATTAGCCCTTTGTGCACAATCTGAGCGTCAATTAGGGAGACATTACTGTACATTGTATCTGAATTATGTTGCAGTTTGCTGAGGCAATTCGAACTTTTGAACTAATTCGATCGTTAATTATTTCGGTTACGAGCGTTATTGAATTGCTGTGTAATTTAATTCGATGTCGATCGGAATTACGAATTACAATGTAATTGAATTCAGTGACGATCTGAATTAAAAGAAGTTAAAAGTTAAAACAGTTAAATCATCGTTTTTATTCCAGCACTACTATGTATGTATTCATATTAACCCTTTGCACTCGAGTGGTGACTCGGAGGCACCCCTAAAATTCGTTACATCACGTTTCAAGATAATTTTGATATCAACAAAGTTCAGATTTAAAAAATCGTCAAAACTGTAATTGTTGCGTGACTCCCAAGAGTCAATTTCATATGCATAAAATGCATTCCGCCACGTAAAATAAAAACACTATAAGTTAAGAGAATAATTTTATATTTACAGTTAACCCTTAACGGTCCAATGCCGCCATACACGCGGCAGAAATCAATAAAACCGTAAAATCTGGCAGGAAACATTGGGAGAATAGGCACGATTGTTTCGATGAAAATATGAGCCGTTTATTTTGAAAGTGGCATAAGTCACTTTACCGTAATGAAAAGTGGTGATCTTTTAATGTTTATACGAAATTATTTATACTGAGAAAAATATCAGTATCCCGAGATAACAAATACAAGTAAATCTTCTCGAAAGTTAGCATTCATATTTTTAAACGTGTTAAAACGCAAACCCTTAAATACAGGGTTCCCCGGAAAGAACCATCCGATTTCAAAAATTTATATTTTAAAAAATTACACACAGAAAATTATAATTCAAACACGAATATAACGGGAAAATGTGCGAGTTTTACTTTTTACCCCTTTGGCACTTGGAGGTTCGGAATTTTCTTAACACGGAACTACCAAACCGTTAGATTGGTCGCAGTTCATCCGATAATATGGTTCTACACAGTTGGCCTCCGAGATCACCCGACCTAACCCCATGCGACTTCTTCCTTTGGGGATTTGTGAAGAATCTTGTCTTTGTACCACCTTTACCTACAAGTGTAAATGAACTGAAAAAACGCATTTGTGATGCTGTACAAACAATTACCAGAGATACATTACACCGTGTTTGGCAAGAACTGTCATATCGCAACGATATCATACGTGTAACGAAAGGAAGTCATATTGAACACTTGTAAACAAAAACTCACACATTTTCCCGTTATATTCGTGTTTGAATTATAATTTTCTGTGTGTATTTTTTTAAAATATAAATTTTTGAAATCGGATGTTTCTTTCCGGGGAACCCTGTATATCGACTTAAAAACAAAGTGACTTATGCCACTTTCAAAATAAACGGCTCATATATCAACGAAGTTTTATTTAAAAAATGAATATCTCTCCTCTGTATTTGATACAAAAATTTTCAGTAAAAAATTTCTCTTCATCTGTGAAACAGTCTGGACTTGGCAGTGTGTAAACTGGAAATAAATACTTTTGGTCCCGCAAGGGTTAAAATAGCTTCGAGTGCAAAGGGTTAGACTCGTCATCGTTAACTTGACCAAACCAAGTACCTGCGTAGTCTCGGTCATCGAAGGGGTTAACAACATGTTGCTCCGGTAAATATCCGCAGAAGTTGATGCGCAGGAGGCGGCCGAGGAAGGTTGCAATCCGGTGATTACGGTGCAACGGTGGATTCGATCGGCGCTCGTTAACATGTAACCGGTAGCCGGTCCGGCGAATTAACGCGATTAACGATTACAGAGCGGTCGCATGTTGGGTCGGGCGGAGTCGTCCGAGGCTCATCAACGCATTACTCATACGCGGTTGAGCAATTGCTACAGTTACGGCCGCGGCAATTGCTCGAGCAATTTATTTCCGCGGGAATCGACGACTTCGAAAACGGAAACGGGCCGCGGCGAGGCGAGGCGCGGCGCGGGGCCGAGAGATCGATTTCCATCGGGCTCGATCGCGATATCCTCGCCGGACTATTCATAAACGCACCCTCCGCTGTTTTGTCCGATGGTCCGAAGGAGGGTCTGCGGGGTAGAGAGCGGTCTGCGGGGGTGGTCGCGATGAGTGTACCGGTGGTGAGAGCGCGGGGGCGGAGTGCGCTCGCGGAAACCGGAGCGAAACGGAGCGGCGGCGGCGGCGCGGTGGCCGGCAATCTGATCGGCCTATCCTTCTCGTAATTGCCTGTAGATCCCGATCGCGATTACCCGGGAAATTAATACGGTCCTGGCCCCGGAATTTATGCGACTCTGACGTGGATTATGCATATACGGCGGCCGTGGGCCGGCCGCGGCAATAACCGCGTCGTTACGACGACGTTATCGGCCCGCGATTCTGAAATCGCTGCTTTCCCCGGTTTTGCCGGAGCCGATAGCGCGCCGGATCATCGCGATCAGCTTTGTAACGATTATGAACGGTGCTCTGTCAATTTCGGATGGCCGACGCCGACGCCGCGCTGCCCGATGCGGCCGGTTGGTCGGTCCGCGCGCGCGCGGCCGGTTACACGTTGTCCTCGGAAGAACTGATGGCGGTAATGAACAGCTCGTGAATTAATGACCGGCCCTGGAAATGCTGTTCGATGAACGCGCGTTACTTTCCTTGATAAATGACGACCGGCCGCGGCTTTAAAAATGCCCGCAGATAACGGAAGCGCGGGCGTAAATTCCGCGCGCTGAATGCATGCCCGTGAACGCGATTGTTCGGCGCCGCGCGAAAAACGAGGAGCCCCGGTTTCCACCGGACCGTGGAAATTCGTTCGCGCGATTTTTAATGGATTCCGGAATCTTCTCCCGCGGAAACGGGATTATTTATACATAGAATCGCAGCCTCGTTATTGGTACATCGGAGATATTCCGAGCGATGTCGGAAATGGAATTGTTTCTTTTTTTTAATTCGTTCGTTTAATGTCGCATCTGATTAATGACAATTAGCGGCCATTTCTGGGATTACATTTGGATTGTTTGTGTTCAATATTATGGCTTCAGTGTTATCGTTTTGATTTATTTGGATCGTTGCAAAAATCATTTCAACAGGTTCTTTAAGTTATTATACAGAGTGGACCACGAAGAATAATCAGCTTAATTTATTTCGTGCTTCGATTGGACATTTTTGGACAGCTAAAATAATGTGGTTTAAGCAGAATTTTAGGAAGATTGTACCATATTTTTTGTTAACCCTTTTTCCGGGTTATATTTACAACATAACTTTTGTCGTGTGTTTATAATTGTTCGAACATTTTTTGATGGTATTGAGCATTATTTTCACTTGTTTCCTGATATTGTTGTACACTAGGCATTCTATTAGGATATGCTTAATTGTAAACTCATTGTTACAGTTGTCACAAAATGATTTATCTATTCTATAATTTTCGAGAGTATGCTCTGGGGGTAGGGGGGAGGGTTATTTTAGTATGTCCAATCCTTAGTCGAGATAGTAAAATTTATTTCCGTCAAAAGAAATGTAATTCGATTGAAACTGATTTTTTGATGCACGCTTGGAACATCGCCGTTGGAAAATTCAGAAATTCTTGGCTGCGAATCATTCTGCTGCGCGAAAAAAGCGGACGACGAACGAGGGTCGATTCGTTGAAAAGGAAAGTTTCGAGGGATACCGTCGGACGTGGATACAATTAGCCGGCCATTGAACGATAGGCGAGGAACACGGTTACACGTGTGTGTAAGGTTAGGGCTCGTTTTAGAAATAATTGCATCACTTCGGAGGGAAGTGAAAGGGAGTCCCGAGGATAAGGAGCGCATCAGGCGGCTTCAAGAGGGGAATGCTACCGCTGTCAGTAATGAAAGGAAGATTGCGAAGAATGAGAGGGCAGCTGAGATCTTATCGGGCACCGGCTCCGCTGGGAACCGCCGGAGCCACTTGCCAACTTTCAGAAAATCTGCTCCCGATTTTTCTTCGAAATTCTGATCCGCTCTTCGACGGCCCACGGTGGCAATAGCTGATCACGCCACACCGAGTCTAATTATCATATTTATTTCATTTCTTTTATTTTTTGTATTCATTCATGAGTTCAGGAATAAAGTAAAAAATGCATAATGCTATTTAAAATGAAAGTCAAGGTGGCCTGAGCTTTTTTGTTGAATTAAAAGTTTTTCCAAATTTGTATCGTTGCTCTTTGTTCTCCTCGAAGTACTAGTCAGCTTTTATTGCAAAAATCTTTTTGTCAGATTTGGGTAAATTCCTAAAAAATCGGTGTGATCGTTAGGATGAACACCCTGTATTTATACAATACAATAGAAGAAAATAAGAAGAAAAATACGAAAAAAGTATGGCGGGTACAATAGGTATACAGTAGATATAATAGGTGGAAGATTATATTATAAAACAATTTTAATTATAAAACAAATTATATTATTATAACAAATTATATTATATCAAATCATACATATTATAAGACAAAAATAATAGAAAAGAGTACAAAGAAAAATTACTACAAAGGGTAGAAAAATTAGGTTGTAAAATAGCTAACCGTAATAATAGCTGTGTTAATAATTACAGTTACTATTACAATTATTAAAATATTTTAAGTCTTTTTAGAAGAAGAAGTTATAGCTCGTCAATAGAGATCGCGAGTTAAACAGCCAGGTTGAATTTCCTCGGTTACGCTGAATGCCATAAATTACCAAGATTGCAACGAGCGTGCTCGCAACGCGATCATTTCTAGAGAAACTGGTCCCGAGCTTTAGAATGACAGTTTTGGAGTGTGCAGAGGGGATAGGGGGAGGGAAGAAAGTCGAAAGGGTAAAGAGTCGGGATTCAATTACGGGTGAAAGGGAGCAGCGTAGAATTACACGGTGAAAAAACGAGCACGAGCGGAAAGCGTCTCTAAAACGGCGTCGGAAGGAACCGGCGTATTTTTCTGCTGTCCCGCCGTCGGACTTTTGCTGCCGCGCGCGGAAACAAAAAACGTGGCCGCATAGTTCCGAAACAATTCCGTCGCGGAATTCCTCGACATCCGCGGCTAAACGGCAATAAATTCGCCACGCATTTTACGGGGTATGCGCCGCCGCCGCCGAGGTACCGTTCTCCCGAGAAATGTTCCGCGATATTCGCGCGGCAATTAATACGTTAACGAGACAAATCACTTTGCTGGCCCTGGAAATTCTCTGACCAAATTCTTCTCCTCGGGATACCTGGAAAAAAAAAATTCGCGCGTCGATGACTCTTCGGAGGACATTATTCCGCCGAGGATACGTATGTATTTTGCATGGAGAACCTATTTTCGAACGATAGCTGTACATATTTTCATAGTCTATTATTAGTCGTACCTTTCTGGAAGTCAACGACGTTGTTATGGTCGTGCGAGCGCGAGTCGCATGGAACGTTTGTTTTGATTTCGGAGCTCGGGCAATGCCGCGGCCGATCGGTCGAAGAGACTGTTGCGACGCTGCAGAGTTTCTAACCGACGTTTTTTTTTCTGTTCCTCGTGCGTGCCGGAGAGAGCAGCGTGTGTTTCTTGTTTTCGTTTCACAGACTTTTGTGTACATATACATGTGTTATTCATTACGTGTAGTTACTTTATAT